CACAGCCACTAGTAACCCCCCCTCCCCTCGCTGCTCCCCTCCTTCCCCTGTTCCCCGCTGCCTCCCTTCCCTGCTGACTGTTGTTGGGGGGTGGTGCTGGCCCCTGGCTCCAAGAAGTAGACACCTCCATTATGGCAGCACTCTGGTTTCATTGTCTCCTTATGCTTCCAAGGAGGCTGGCCTTGCCCCCCTCCCCTCAGGCCCCTCAGTCCCCACTGTCATGGTGGTGCTCCGCTGTCTGTCCCTGTTTGTGTCTGTGTAGGGCACTCTGATTGGCTGTTGAGACAGCCAATCAGAGCTTGAATAAAGTGTTACGGACAGACCAACAGACAGACTTAGGCTGTTACAATATTAGAATAACCGTCCACAAACAGATCCACATGGCTGTATCCTAATATGGCATGTGCAGAGCTACTTAGGAATTTGAAATACAGTAGTACCCAGATCATTTGTATCCACTTAATTTGCCACATGTTGGTTAATTAAGGATGAGCTCTGTTGTTTGCTGCATTTTTTACTTCAAAGGTCATCGCTTCTCCATTCAGCTGAAGCACATTGCTGGTTCCACATAACTGATGAGAAATGGCATCTTCCAAAATGAAAGCCACAGCAAATAGCTGGAGCACCTCAGTGGTCCAGCACAGCTGTCTACTGCAGCTCTCTATATTGGTAGTTACTTTGGAAACCCCTCACTTCCCACTGGGGTAAAGAACCTAACCCTGCAAGCATCTAGCTTCTAATATATATGAGTAGACTAGGGACTTTTGGGGGTACTATTGGAGCATAATATTTGTTTGTGTGAAAGAGAATCAGAATAAAAACATACATAGAGAAGGAGTGGAAAATCAGACATAACCACACAAGCTCTGTGTTTGTGACACTGAGAAAAACTACTATATTTTACAGTGTATAGGTCAACACAGTGTATAAGTCAGCCCCGTATTTCTGTACAAAAAAGTTAGGATTTTTGTAGATACATTGTACAAGCTGACCCTGCCTCAGTGTGGGAGGTGCTGGAAGCCCAGGTGGGCTTGAGGGAGAGGCAGTATGTTGGTGGGCTCCCAGAAGTTGGCCAGCCTCAGGGGGCACTGCCACTGCAGAGGGAAGTACTGGCCCCCCTGCAGCTTAGGGGTTGCCCAGCCTGGCAGCAGCTCACCCCCCAGCTGCAGGACATGTGGGGATGCTCTTCCAAAAGCAGGATCAGGGCCCTCACTGCTTCTGCCTTCAGCAGGCTCCTGAGGCCAGCAGGATGCCTGGCACCACCTGAGAAGTGGCTGGCTTCCCCCAGGGGTAGCGTGGGATGTTGGATAGAAGTGTGGGGAAGCCAGCCCTGCCTGACACCCCTTGCCTCCTGCCCCGCCCCTGCCCAAGACCCTGTGCTGCCCATGGGGCAAGCCAGCCCTTTCTCAAGCAGCACCACGCATCCTGCCAGCCACAGGATCCTGCTGAAGACAGAAGCAGCAAAGAGACAAACCCTTCTTGTTGTGGAGCCTCCCAGCCTACCCTGTGACCAGGGGGCAAGCTGCCAGTGGGCCAAGCAGCCCCTGAGCAACAGGG